AATATGGATGTGTTTTTGGATCTGGGAGTGGGTACATTACATTTTTACTACTAAAAACAATCTTAAAAACAATCTTTGAAAATACAATATGATTACTTTTGTAATTGACAAGGCCCCAATTTTTTTATTTTTTTTATTTCTATGAACAAAAAATAAATAATTAAATTGTAGAGGGTCCACTGTTGATCAGGGCCCTTAGAATTGTCATCACTTTTCACCCCCTATACTGCGCCCCTGGCTGCTTCCATACCTTCAACTTGCATGTTGGACCAAACCACCCAAACCAATTATTTAAAGAAGTGTTCTCCTTTTATTTGTATCCCTATTTTAGATATCTACCTTTAGCAAATGGGCACATACCACAAGATTTTAAAGTCGTTGTAGCTAAACCTTAAGAAACCTTCTCTCAATCAAGATGACGTCGTGAATTATAAACCTATAGCGAGTGATGGCAAGATGAAGCTTCCTGAAGCACTGAGGCAATCCATCCAATCATTCGACTCATGAGCCGATGCGCCGCAGTGCTTCGTTTGCTCTACTGGACAATATATGTAAAATAGGCAATGTGAAAACAACATGAAGCCTTACAATTAATAAACAAGTAAATTATGTTTGTTATTCTGATACATAAATTCTGATGATATTCTTAATCTGTTTAACAATGGCTAGAGGAGCTCAATTTTTTTCAGTTATTTGTCTTATACTGTCACAAGATATTGACAGTTTCAACCTATAAAAAAAAACTTACTTTAAAAAAAAAAAGTTAAATACTGCAGCTTTAACTCCAAGCAGTACTTTGCAGTACTCTCTTGTGTTTCTGGTGTCAGAGGAAGGAAATCCTGTGGGGTAGCTTTATGACCCATTAGAACCTAAAAGTCATCTTTTAAATGACCAATGAAATGAGATGATGTGGACCTGCCCCAGGGCAGTCATACAATCTGCTAAACCTAGTGATAGAAAAACAAATCACTGTGCCCCATGGCCAGCTCAGAATAATGACCACAAGACGATTTACACTACAACGAGAACCTCCAACTACTACATGATCTTACAACTGAAGAAGTTCTTACTGTGGAACAGGAGGGAAAAAGTATCATCACTGATTCATTTGTGCAGAGAGATGAGGATATGCATTGAAAAATCTACACCAGGGACAGTTTTTGGACAGTTTTAATTGAGACATCAACACACAGCTCTAATTTAAGCTGTGTGCTATTTTTTTTTATCTCCTATTAACTGAATGTTTAACATTAGCAACACAGGCATAACCATTACATTTTAACCTGCTATGAACACAGGGCAAGACACTACTATTGACTGTTCTGTCTGATTGATCATATTGCTTGGTATACAGTTAAGAGTTTCATATAACACAACAGACAGCACAAACACTGAAACATGAAAGGCAGAATGGTGGAATTCACCCAGACACTAAGAATTACACAAGATCCAGGTGGACTTGCAAACCAATCTTCCTTTGAAATCAGATGATGAGATCAAGGGCTGATTAAGTAAAGGAGTGTGGTGACCACATAAACACAGATACACTCAGAATCAATTAAAAACCATTAATGTTAATAATAAGAAAATACTGATGACACAAAAATGGTTGTCTTTTTATGACTTGGGTCTTATTTAAAAACTTTGGATCTTAACAACGCATATGACATCACAGGATGAGGCACCATGTTACTTAATCACAGGACATATAAATGCTTAACACTGTTACTCATTTCCATCCAGTTTCCAACTTTAACAGTAAGCGTTAAAACTGGAGGTGTTGCACAATAAGTCTTATAGCATCCACAAAACCTCTAGATCAAACCTCTAGAACAACTGTCTTTGAAAGGCATATAGAAGACAACTGTCCCTTTCAATGACTGGAAAGTAAAAGTAAACATTAGATTATGTTAAAAAGTAACTTTTTTAAATTATCAAAAACTTTTTCACGTTTGTACAGGCGTAAAAACATTCGTAAAAATGTGAGCATTAACAGAGGTAAAAATATGCCATTCACCAAAAAACATACCTTCAGTGAAGTATGTTTGGTCAGGGGAGTTGCATAGCTTCACTGAAGTAAAAATAAAACAAAAGAGTGGGGCGGGGGGGTTTCATAAAGTGGCTCTCAAAATCTACACGTTAAAATGTGTTTAGTTTCTGCTTCAACAGTGTGTTATTTTAAGCCTGTAAACCTCTAACCAACTAGGCTATTATACAGAGTTATAAAACTACTTACTGGATCACCACCAGAGGTACGTGTCATTCAGTGTTTCATTTATAAAGCTGAAGGTGGCAGCAGCAGTAAAACACCAACTCTTTCCTCTTCCTCTGTTTGCTCCTCCTCACCTTCATCTTGTGATTTCTGCATTCCTATCGATTTCAATGCGCTCCAGTTCAATTTGAAAAGACTTAATGACATTACTCATCACTGTTTTGGTTGGACGGAGCTACGCCAAATAGACTTCATTTACCCAGAATGTATTGCAGCGTGAACAACATGGTGATGTACGTGTGACAATATTTGATTAAAATTTATAAAAATTATTCAACTATTATTAGTGTACTGTTTTTACATCTAAAATAAATATTTCTCAAAGTCTATTATTACAGCTAATCAAAGATCCCTTTAAGAGCCACTGTTTCAGCTAACTGTACAATTTTCAAATCCATTGTTCAGCCAACTCACGTGGACATGTTTAAATATGTCCACCTTTATTATAAAATATTGAATAAAGTTGGGTTTGCCATCTACATTCCAACCTCATCACTACACTCCCATGTTGTTCAACAGGTCAGCACTTAAAGGGTCATATTGTTAATTGAGGGTCATATTGTTATATATATGACCTTGGAAGCTGGGAAGACGCTGAGGCTGAAAAGCAGCAGAAAAACAGCCAGTACCACTTATTGATTGATGCAGTAAGCTGACAGCTTAAACAGACTTCACAAACTGGTGACGTATGTTTGATATTATCCATGGTTTTGATTGATTTTGTGTTAAGTAGCAGCACAGCTTGCATTGATGGCTTCAACCAGTTAGCAACCATTCCGTCATGTATGGTGGGATGGCATTGAAGTGAATGCTATTTTATCGCATTCACTTCAAGTTTGTGGAAGACACTGACTTTTCTTTATTATTCATTATTATATTGGATGTCATGGGGCAGAAAAAAATAAACACAGTCTTGCTGTAGGTTCAGTCCAGGAAGTGCCACAGGTTCTACATGGCTAAGGGTGTGTTGAAAGGCTGTGATGCCTGGGAGATCGGTGGAACTCCTATCTACATGATCCCAATACATGGACTGCTGTATTCACATACCCACGATGCCGGATTGGGCATGCTGAGGCTTGAAAGACTCATTCCATCGATTCAGTTGCGGCAAATGTATTGGATGTCCAGGTCATCTGACTAATGATGCACGGTGTGTCACAATCTGACTGAGAGAAACGGTAGGTCAAGGCCGGTGGTGATCCTAGTGGTGTGCCCATGATGGGCAATGAGGAAACCAACCCAGGTGATGCAGAAAGTTCGCCAGCCTACCCCGACTGGCGATGTGGTGAAAGCTTGGCTTGGGTGGCCCTGGAGGTCCAGGATGTCGTTAATGGTTAGTTTCAATTATGAAAAATAATAAAATCAGAGTTGATGTTTGCTCAAAACTTGGTGCTTCAGTATTTTACACTTAATTTAAGACTAACATGCCTGAAGAAGCCAAGTCTTCTTTATGGTTTGGCCATTTCAGCTTATCATATCCATCAACATCAAGAAGATGCTTTATAGAACTTAGATCCCACCATTTAATGAATGTGCTGAAAATGAAGTTTCACAAAGTGCTAGTTAAGAGGAAACTACATTGTGAGTGCATATTTAGAGGAGTAGCTCAAAGTTAAGTCAAAACATTGATGTCACAAGTTAGAAGTACAGCATGCCATGTGAACTGGCAATAAGGGCAGGCAAAAAGACTAAATAATGTAATCAGAACTGATGCAAATATTTGCCAAACAAGAAAATAAGATCCAAGTTGTAGAAAAGGTTACAATTATTTTGGACAAATAGCAGAATAACATTTCATTGACATTTAGTTTGCATATGTGGTCTATTGTAACATTTGTCATAAGAGACATAAGTAAAGATGTCTCATTTTATATAGCAGTTCCATTTTTTTGAGAGCTGTCAGCACTTTATGGCCTCATGAGCCCTGATAAATTGGTTCAGAAATGTTTATAGAGAAGTAACACTACTGTGTGTCATTACTACCAGTGCACAATTTTTGTATGGGAAACATGCCCATTCATTTGGCAAGAAATGGTAGTTTCTTGTTTTACTGCCAAACCAAATTGAAAAGGCAAGCAATTTTCTTCAGCAGCCAGTTTGTGATGCTCCTGTTCTTTAAAAATGTAGAGCTTCAACTACTTCTATCCAAATTAAAAAGTCATCGTTGCTCTTCAACACTTCACCCACAACAAAGTAATTTTTAAAAATTCTGCTGGTAAATAATTTTGTCCATATTGTATGACATCATTTGTTATCTAATCCCAAATAATTTAAGACTAAAAATAGAAAAACTATTTTGTTTTCTTATTTTTCAATTTTTTTTAATCCAACATCTGTCACTGGAATGGCCCAGAGCCAAAACTCTTATCCCAGTAGGAACACTGATGCTCCAACTGGTCCAGGAGTTTGTCCACAGAGTCCTCTTTGTTCTCCAGTTTCAGGTATCGTCTCCCACTTCCTAGTTCTAGTCGAGGCCAGCTTCCACCGGTTTGGTCCTCTTCTGCATCTGTCGTCTCTACAGGGATCCTCACACAACCCTGGGAACCTATCTCTTTTTTATTGATTTGGAGCTGATTTGTCTGAATGTTCTTTTTGCATGGGAAGAGTTCCTTCTCGAAGTGCAGCCCAATTTGGGCTTTGTAAGGCTTAGTCCTGTAGCTCATACTCTGACAACGCCTGTGTTGGGCAGCAGGAAAATCCACCTCTTCCAGCTTAAGGTTGGACATGGAGCTAGCAGACACAAGGCAGAAATTAAGCTTGAGGAGTGGGGCAGTCTGTAAACTGAAACAGTGCTTGCTCCACAGTTCTTCCCCTGTCTGAGAATTACTGTCTACCTGGCAGTGATCACATGACTTACACAAGGTTGAAGGGGGTGAGGGTACAGGCTCTGACTCTTTGTGATGAGTCAGAGCTTCTGTCTTCAGGTCTGTTTGCTGGTAGATGCCTTCCACACTGCCCTCCTTGTCCCTGATGTAGGTGGTCTGCAGTAGGGGCTCAGAGCATGCCAGCTGCTGCAGACACATGATATTGAGATGAGCAGCAGGCAGACTGCTTACCCACTGATAGTGTTTGGTCATAGAGTTGGCTACTGCCAAGTCTCTGAGGCCTGCAGAGGGCACAGCTGCTGATACAGAGCAGATAACATTGCGCATCTGAGCTAGCAGCATCTGAGTCTCTCTATCTCTATTTTCATATAGGACAGTGTTTGCACATATCAGGATGAATAGTCCGACTCCCATGATTACTGGCCCCAGGAGCTTCATGCGGTCACCATGGAGGAGACTGGCTGGAGAAAAGAACCCCTTGGTACCCAGACTCCAACTGGATGGCTGTGGATCCGAAATACTTTCCAGTTCTGTATCTTCTATTATGGATGACTTTGAAAACCGATAGGGCCAGTAACCAGCTACAGCCAGAGCAGTTCCAACAGCTACCACAATGACCCCCAGAACCAGGAATGCTCCGGGCATAGAACGGATGCGAAGCTTGCCTTGAATCATCCTGTCCTTCTTCATTCTGCCTCGTAGACAGAAACGCGGCTTCCGTCTGCAGGGAGGAGATGGTGGTCTAATGCCTCTGCACATCTCAGTCTTCATGGCACAGTTTTGTCCTGCTTAAACTCTGCCAGAAGTCTGTGAGAAAAGTACATTTGAAGAATTAATGCAGTTAACACCTAATCCACCAGGCAGAACATAAAGAATAATTATAATAGAATTCATCTGAGTGTCTTTTCCAAGTACAAATTGGAAATACAACTCTGGTGATAAGGATGCAAAATTAGATGAAAATATACACAGTATAGAAATATTTGATCACAATGATTAGGCATATATCTATGAAACCATTGCCACTCACTTTTAGTGAAGCAACTGTGTAAAACTAAAAGAACCAACATGACTGCATTTGCTTTAACAGCATCTGAGTTAGGCATACTTCCAGGCTTTTCACTTATCCCATCCCAGTATTTTATCTATGGGTGGCCACATATTTGTCATGCAATGTTTTTTTCTGACAACCTCAAATTTTAGATATCATAAAACAATATTGTAATATTTTTTAATATGTTGCAACAATTTTGTACCTTTTTGAATAATTATGGAGCTCATATCTTTTTTGCACATCATATGACAAAAGAAGATGTCAGATTAAGTCATCCATTCATAACAGCTCAAAATGTTATTTTCAGAAACATCACTTTTTGTAGATTTATCCTACTGCACATAATTTATTTGATGATTTATTGATTATACTAGGAAAAGCAACACATATCACAAACTAATGTAGGAATCCAGGAATATTGAGTGGTGTGTATTGATTGATTTATTATAACTTATTATTAGAGTTCTTGCCAGAAAACTGAAAATAATAAAAAGGTTGAGTTTTAAATACCACAAATGTTTTGTCTCTCAAATCAAGTAGAGACTCTTGCTGGTCCATTCTATCCAAACCTCAGAACATCCTGAACAGCAACCCAGACTACTTCAACTTACTCCTTTCAAGGCGGAGAAGCAGTGGCTCTATTCCAAGCCCTGCCTCTGAGGCTGAGCTGGGCCATTCTACAGATGAAGCTCATATTGGCGAGTTGTATCCAGGATCTTATTTTTCGTGTATGATCTATCTCCTGGTAATAGGTGCAGGTCAGAACATCAATCGACATTTGTAAATTTGGTAGATATTTGGTTTAAAAGTGATGGTTTCCTTTACATCTAGAATTAATTTTAGACAGTATTTGAAGCCTAAATGCAGATCTGTTTCATCTGAGAGTCAGTAGAGCAACAAACAAAATACAAAGGAGCGAAAGCAGCCAAACTCAAATTCAACTATCATACCTTTTTTTCTCACAAGATAATTAGCTATTGA